CGAAGAGGTATCTCTGGGCCCTCTCGGTAATGCACATCACTATGAGCCTTGCAAGCAATGTATCTAATGAGTTAGCCATGGGATGATGCATTACGGAACAAGTAAAGAGACTTGTCGGTGACGAGATTGAACTAGGTATGATGATACCGACGATCGAATCTCGGGCAAGTAACATACCGATGACAAAGGGAATAACGTATGTTATTATGCGATTTGATCGATAAAGATCTTCGTAGAATATGTAGGAGCCAATATGAGCATCCAGGTTCCGCTATTGGTTATTGATCGGAGATATGTCTCGGTCATGTCTACATAGTTCTCGAACCCGTAGGGTCCGCACGCTTAATTCGATGACGATTTGTATTATGAGTTTCATGTTTTGATGAACCGAAGTTTGTTCGGGTTCCTGGATGAGATCATGGACATGACGAGGAGTCTTGAAATGGTCGAGACATAAAGATTGATATATTGGGAGGTTATGTTTGGACACCGGAATGGTTTCGGATAGGTTCGGGCATTTTCCGGAGTACCCGGGGGTTACCGGAATCCCCCGGGGGATTAATGGGCCACAATGGGCCTTAGTGGAGAAGAGAGAGGGCCGGCCAGAGGTGCCCCCCCTTGCCCAGTCCGAATTGGACAAGGGGAGGGGGCGGCGCCCCTCTCCTTCCTTCTCTTCTCTCGTCTTTCCCTTCTTCTCCTACTTGGACTAGGAAAAGGGGGGGACGAATCCTACTTGGACTAGGAGTCCAAGTAGGACTCGCCCCAAGGAGCGCCCCCTCCTAGGGCCGGCCTCATGTTCTCCCCCCTTTATATACGTGGGGAGGGGGCACCCCAAAGACACATAAGTTGATCTTTTAGCCGTGTGCAGTGCCCCCCTCTACAGTTACACACCTTGGTCATATCATTGTAGTGCTTAGGTGAAGCCCTGCGTCGGTAACTTCATCATCACCATCACCATGCCGTCGTGCTAACGGAACTCTCCCTTGGCCTCAACTGGATCAAGAGAGGGGGCGTCATCGAGCTGAACGTGTGCTGATCGCGGAGGTGTCGTGCGTTCGGTACTTGGATCGGTTGGATCGCGAAGACATTCGACTGCATCAACCGCGTTACTAAACGCTTCCGCTTTCGGTCTACGAGGGTACGTAGACACACTCTCCCCTCTCGTTGCTATGCATCTCCTAGATAGATCTTGTGTGATCGTAGGTAAAATTTTGAAATAGTCCATATTCGATTTCACGCCAAACCGGGGATGCTTCCGAGGTGAAAACCATATCAATTAGCTCACTGTGCGGGTAGTGCTTGGATTTTAGGACACGTGCACATAAACTCCCCGGCATGTGTAGCAATCTCCAGGTCTGTCTAGCGAGCAAGGCCTGATTGAAGAGGCTCATATCTCTGAATCTTATGTCGCCTCCTCTCTTCGGTTTGACCATTCGATCCCACGACATCCAATGTACTTTCTTGTGTCCATTCTCCTCTCCCCACCAAAATTCACTGATCAAATTCTCGTACTTATCACAAAAGCCCTGTGACATCTTAAATACCCCCATGTAGTAAGTGAGGAGGCCTTGTAGTACTGACTTAACTAGTGTCTCTTTGGCCACAAATGACATGAATCTCCCCGACCAATCTGTGCACCTCTTGACAAATCTCTCCATGATTGGTTGGAAGGAAGAGTCTTTCATGCGTCCTTTCAGGGTTGGGAGACCTAGATACTGACTCTCAAATAGGCAGTGGAAATCTGAAGGGTCTCCTTGATTCCATGTTGTGTTGCCTCCGGATAGACTTCATTGAATAGGATTGGGCATTTGTTGTTACTAAATAGTTGGCTCGAGCCCTTCTGAAACTTGTGGAGAACCTACATGATGCACTCTGCCTCTTCTTTACACGCTTTCAAGAAGAGCAAGCTATCATCGGCAAATAACAAGTTCGAAATCCCTGGACTCCCTCTGGCAATTTTCAGGGGCGTAATTTTACCCCGTCGGATTTCTTTGTCTAGCAAACATGATAAACCTTCGGCCACGAACAGGAAAAGGTAGGGGCTCAGGGGGTCGCCCTGCCGGAGCCCCCTCTCGGGTGAGAATGGATTTAGAAGCTCGCCATTGTACTTGACAAAATATCTCACAGATTTTACACATCTCATCACCCATCCAATCCATTTTTTATCAAAACCCAACTTCAGCAAGGCTGCTTCCAAGAAGCCCCAGTCCGCCCTGTCATATACTTTTGCCAAGTCCAACTTGAAGACGCAGTGTGTGTTAGCTGGATGTTTGCTATGTTGAATATTGTAGAAGCACTCAAAGGCAATTGTGGCATTATCCATGATCAAACGACCGGGAATGAAAGCACTTTGATCTCTGAGATGAGCTCATCCAAGTGGGGTGTTAGCCGGTTCACCATACATTTCGAGATTACTTTGTAGAACACATTGCACAGACTTATGGGTCGGTAGTCCTTCAACTGGACAATAATCATTATATGTTGCACCTTTTCTCCTTATTCTTTTTCTCATTGGATTTAAAGAAGTTTTAGCAACATATCTAATCTATTTTCCTTATATTTTTCCCACATGGTTTTTGGGGGAGACTATCAAGCGGAAGATTTCTCAAGATGGAAGATCTATGTACAAGAAGTTTTCAATGATAAAACATTCAAGGAGCGATGTTGTACAAGGGGGAGTGTTAGGAGTTAAAAGTAGATTAATTAGCACATGCTCCCTCGGTAAACTAATATAAGAGTGTTTAGATCACAATTTAGTGATCTAAACACTCTTATATTTCTTTACGGAGGAAGTACTAATTAATGAATAGACATTAGCAAAGGTCGTGTCCAACCCTGAATAGAAATGTCTCTCCTCTCTCTTTATTGTCAGCGGGCACCTGCTCGGGAGGGATGCCTCTAAACAAGCACCTGTTCGAAGGGATGCCTCCGAACAGGCATCTTCTTCTCACCTCTTTCAGATGTATATATACTTGAGAATCAATAGAAATCAGTACTGATCATCCATTACTTTCATTCAATCTCGTTTTACTCGAACAACCATGGCGGCGATCCAGCGGCTCCTACCGTCCAATGTGCATGAGAACGCAAAGAATCGTGAGTAGTTCTTACTTGCTTCATCCATTCTTCGTGTGCATGTGCCCAAGTGAGTCTCGGTCCTGATTGAATTCAGGTACTGATACATGCATGATCTATCTGGCGCCTCTCTTCTTGTGAGCTGCATCTCGCCGCCCCTGGCTGGCCGCAGCGAGCGCGCGTGCGCCGTCGTCGCAGCTGTTGTCTAATGCCTCGGCGCCATGAATCCCAGACACCCATAGTGACGAACAAGCAGATGGGAACGAAGATCCTTCGATGGTTCTCTTTGTGCGCCTCATCATCCATAACCGCCCTGAATGGCCTTCTTCTCTCTATCCGAATGGCCTTCTATCTATAGGTAGAGTCTATCCGTTGATAACGTGTTGTAAGTAATCGAGAGGGAACGAGAGACAAACAAACAGAATGAACTTGTGTAGTCTTTACTGACCATCTTTCACAAATTATATACAAGGTTGAAGAGGCGCCTCCGAAGGAACTGACGCGACGGTTGCTAGAGTTGCAACCGCACGTGAGGGAAATCAGGGATTTCCTGATTAACCGCATGGGTTAATTATCCTTAACAAAAAGGGCAAAGGTTATTTCCTCCCAGAAAAGAGAGAGACGTGTATCAGATACAGGCCGAATACAAGCGTGACTACCGGAAATGCAATTTGCTCCCAGGAGCACGTGTTCCTCCTGCGAATCAACTTGTGGTTGAGTTGGTTAGGTGGACAGTGGTATCCCTAACCCATCAAGGTTCAAATCCTGATGCTCGCATTATTCTTGGATTTATTTCAGGATTTCCGGCGATACGCTTTCAGTGGGAGGAGACGTTCCCGTCGATGACGAGGCGCCTACGGTGACTTCATAAATCTCAAAATAATATGCCGGCTCAGTCTCTCGGAGATGCTCATAGGGATAGGGTGTGCGTGTGTGCGTTCATAGAGGTGAGTGTATGCGCATGTATATGAGCGCTTGTGTCTGTACTGATGTTCAAAAAAAAAGCACGTGTTCCTCCTGTGGAAAATGATTTTTGAAATGTCAAAAAAAACAACAATTTTTTTTGTGTTCTTTGACAAATCCAAATGCTACCTGGAAATTTTTAGGCAAAAAGGTTGCATTTTGGCCTATGCAAGAAAATAAAATTGAACATTGACTGTTACCCAAATTGTCACACCCAAATTTATTTTTTCACCAACAAAATACTGATTCTTCGTTTCGCACAAAAATTGTCAAGCATGCTTGCAACACCAACACAAACATCTACAAAAATTTATGTTTTTTCTTTAAAAATTGCTATGCACCAGGGAGCAAAAACACCTCCCATGTTCTTTTTTTTCGGGATGAAATACAAACGTGATTACACAAACCTTTACAGTGGTATTTACGAGGGAAAATGACAATCCAAGCAGGGGCGCGGGATCATGGCAGCAGGTTAGAGGATGCCCGGTATAAGAGATGGCAGGTTAGAGGATGCCCGGTATAAGAGATGGCGTCCTCGCCAACAATTGATTAATTTGAAGTAAAAATTACAGGAGACTCAAGATACCTTAACTTAGCCAAAAGTGCTCAAACAAAAATCCATATAACAGAACAAAAAAGATAGCTGTTGATAGGGCGGAATAGGAAATGTGTGTGGGGGTGTGGGTGGGGGGTAACCAAAATAGTTAATACAGTCTGTCATACAAAGCAAAAACTAAAGAGTAGGGAGCGATCGCTACCACATTTGCACTGATGACAACTAGAATAAAACAAAATATCACATATCCGAGCCAGCAAGTTGACATGCTTTGTGCCTCCCTTCGGAAAAGCACACCCACGAAAACTAAAGCATCTGAAATGACAGGAAGATTGAACAGGGGAATATTATCATCTCCATTGGAAGAAAAGAAAAAGGTTTGGGTTTACAAAACTTACTGCAGTGATCAAGCTTCAGTCTTTTGCTCTTCTGCTGCTTGGTGATACTGGTAGTCACCTTCCTCGTATGCCTCACCTTCTTCAGGGCCTTCAGGTTCTGTGTTGGGTTGTGCCTGATAGTATTCATGCTCATGTCCCTTTGAGCTTTCAGTTTCATGCCCATGCCCGCCTTGAACTTGATAGCGATACGACCCGTAACTATTGTGTTGCTCATACTGGTTAGAGCCATAATGCTTCCCATAATCAGCCATGCTCCTGTCATGCTTTGGTTCACCATTGTATTCAGAATCCCTATCCTTCAAGTGAGCGCGATCACGTTCGTAACTTGCACGCTCATGATCTCTTTCGCGATCCCTGCCTCTCTCACGGTGACGATCATGAGAGAGGCCACGATCCTTCTCCCTATCATGATCCCTACCACGGTCCCTATCCCTATCTCTGTCCCGACGATCACGGTCACGGTCACGCCCATGGTCTTTTTCCCGGTCCCTTCCTCGGTCCCTGTCCCGAGTCCTGTCCCGATCTCTATGGTGGTGCCTCTCTTCCCTTGAATCACGCTCACGTATTCTGTCATGAGAACGCTCACGGGGATTTTCATCGCGGTCTCTTTCCCGTACCTTATCACGAGACTTCTCCCGATCTCTGTACCAATAGTGAAGTAAGAAATAAGCATTTACACAAAGCACTATGCTAAAGCAGAAGAAAGTTTATTTGCTGAAGCTCACCTATCTACACGGGAATCACCCCTCTTAGGTTCTTCTGATCTGGGACGCCCAACACTCGATGGCTCCCTGGTAATCAGAAACAAGCAGCATAAAACAACTAGATGCTCTAACATAAGAGGACAACATTGATAACGCCCAAAACATAACTTCACTGCACTAACAGAACATGCAACTGCCAAGTTAATATAATAGCAATATCAAATTGCAATGTACCAAAATATATTCAATTCCCTTCTGATCAATACTATAGATAAGAAAACAGAGACAAAAGGACAAGAAAAATAAGAAAGAAACATATGACGAAAAGGCTTTGGTGTCGATTAATTCCCAGTCTCACTTGTCACCTCATTCTAAGAATAAATAGAAGCACTAGCTTCCTCTAAGGCATGTCTTAAATAAGAGAATACCTGGCAGGCGGCTTCTGGTCAGCACTTGCACCACAAATTCTGCTTGATCCAAGTCCACCGCCTAATCTCCTGGGACGCCAATTAGGGACAGTTCTACCACGTTCCACATCAACTATTACCCTCTTATTGTCCACTTTTCTCCCATCAGCTTGCTTGTAAGCATCTGGGACATACCAAATTAACATAGAAAATTTAAGACATGCAGAAGGAGTGTCCAACCAGCATACATCTACTGACCCGAAACTTACTTTTCATATCCCGAGTATGCATATACTCTATGAATGCATATCCTCTAGGTTTATTTGTATCCTTGTCAGTTACGAGCCGTACCTGGAAAGCTCAAAGATAGTAATTAAGGACTACTAAGAAAGAGAGTTGCACCAGACTTCATGATAAAGTGATAGTATTTGTTGTCGCTACAATAGTTTGTTAATTTTGCATGTTCTATGTTGCACGACAGACAGGCATAAAGCCTAAAACAGCCGTGCTAACCTTGCATATGTAGAGCTTCCATTATGAGGAGTGAAATCCAGCACAGATCAACAGTTGGAGGAAAAGCAGTCTGACTGATTGGCGTATGTCGGAAAATACGATGATATCCCCTTACCAGGGAACTGGCTAACTATATATATATATACAACTGTAGACTTAAATAGTAAATACTATACCAAGTTGTCCTCTCAGTTGTGTGTATTTTGTTCAGCCGTGGCCAAGAAAAGAAAATAGCAGCAACAGATACAGAATTGGTGCTTAATCTTCGGGGCCAAGAAAAGAAAAATAGCAGAAAACAATTACATAATTGGTGCGATTAATAGCAAGCAAGCGATGTTAGTATTAATGAATCTCAGATTAAACTGGCTTACGGAAGATTCAGTAGAAATGACTAATTAATTTACTAGGAAGCAGAAAATTCTGTCTGAAATCTATGTTACTTTATCTGCTTAGCTTTAAGTGTGTCGATTTCATAGGTACCTCTAATGCCCCACATGTTTAAAGATGGATAGCAAGGACAGGTTGTATAAAGACCTACAAACAGTCATGTATATACAATAGTGTGTCTTGTGCACCTAGGATTGTGGTGTACCTGGTGCACCTGAGCCTACAAATGACCTCTAAAAGCATTAAAAAGTTCCAACCTTTTATTAACAACATAGACATCACGTGCACATCATGTGGAGTACAAAATTTCAAATAATTGATCTTAGAACAAGAAAAATAAATCCAACTTTGAATATTACCAGATTCAAATATTGAGTAGAAGTACCCAACTTGGCACTATTCACAGCATGACTTCTTTATATCTCAGGCCATGTGTCAAATTCGGATTTAGAAATTTCATGATATGCCATTATGTCTATCATAAATTTCCTTCAGCTTTTGTATGACTTTTAGATGAATACATGTTAAGTCACACGATTAAAATTTTGCCTACAGAATCTAATTAATATTTTATTTGTTTAGCACACAACATCAGCTACTGAAGGGTGGTCACAAAATGTATGCATCCACATGCAAAACACAACAAATACAGTACCAGCCTTGGCTTCTATACTCCCTCCATTTCACAATGCATTGCACATTAGTTTTGTCTTAAACCAAACTTTGTAAAATTTGGCCAAGTTAGTAGAAAAAAAATATCAACATCTACAATCCAAATAATCTCTCCCACTTGAAAAATACAAAAGGTTCCGTCTTACGTTACTTCTTCCGTGCTGTTTTCGGTTTTCCTGATTTTTTCTCTCGACCGGTTTTGCTTAAGAACTGCCTTAACTGCACCACCTCTTATCGACTTAACAAATAAAAGCATGTTTTGTTTGGTACGCAAAATAGTACTGATTGAATTGGCAGCTAAAATCCATTTTTGGTATGTAATTACATTAACAATAAAATGGCAGATAAATGACGGTGATTGCATACAAAATATTGTCCACCCCACCCCCCCAAATGCAACGCACGGGCAATTATCTAGTCTAGTAAATATGAAAATATATTTCATGATGGATCTAATGACATTTATATTGTGTTGTGATTGTCGGTACTTTTTGCTACCAAAATTGGGTCAGACTTTGTACAAAACTAATACGCAAAGTAGTTTGAAATAGAGGGAGTACTATTTTTGCAAAAAATGAAATAAAAGAAGAGGCGCTTCATTATTTTCCACCAGGAAAAAAAATAAAGAACACCTCAAAGGCTCCAAGTAATTTTCCGAGAACAACGACGAGAGCAAACAGAAGTAAGTTCATAGGCAATCCTTGGGAGGTGTGGGAAGCTTCTAGCTCTGTGTGGTAGCTAAAATAGGCCAAAAGTATAACGCCGTGTGTCCAAAAGTCACCTTGGCACACAAAAACTACAATGAAGATATATGGTGACAGCGGACCCACTGTTTCCTTGAGATTTCACCCCATGACGGCTTGCTGATCACAATAACTGAACAACACACACTTCAAAGAGGAATAACTCCACCTGTACTGGGATTTACCACATGCACCTACCCTTTTAATAGGCCCATAGGCTTCAAACTCCCGCTTAACCCTGCTCTCAGATGTCTCATAATTCTGCGGAGGTTGAAGAAGTCAGTGAGCACTAAGTTACAGACAGAATATAATGCCCAGCAGTTTTAAAAGGAATGACCAAGCAAATACTTACAAGTCTTGCAACGAAGAGTGTTTTGTATGGATCTGAAGTGGTATTGGGGTCACTTTGTGGGTCATCTATGTTTGAGAAAAATGAGAAATGATGTTACAACATGAATCATCTGAAACAAGGAGTAACATTGCTCAAAAGGAACTCACAGTTCTGAAGCTCTTTGGCGACCTTATCTGCCCCTTGCTCAAGCTTAAGTTTCCTGATTCTATCCTTCTTTTCGGCCTATATGCACACAAAAAAAACAAATTTGGGAACGAATGGCAAACTGCATGAAAATAGACAGAAAATACACTTGACGCACTTTTAACAAGATCAACGAGATATTCAATTGAGGTAGTGCTACACCGCTTTCTCAACACTGGAAACAGTTCAACCAAACTCTTGCTCAGATGCAACATGTCTTAGTAATACCAGGCATAGTTATAAGAACCAGAAACTACTTTTTTGAGTTGTTCCACTGGAACATGTTGAAAGTGTGCAAACTTTTCGAGCGCATAAAGTTATAAATTTCACATATGTAATAATACAGCACCCTCATTATTCATTGTCAGCAACAACTGCAATGGTCCACTAAGTGCTCAAGTGCACTGTTAACAGAACGAATTGCGCAATCTGAGGGAACACCTTTTTTTTCATATCGCAAAAGTGTTAGGTTTAAGTTTAATGTGTAGAGACAGGCAAAATTTATCCTCTGTTCTTTTCTCTCGCCACACAATTTCAGTTCCACTTAAACACTCACTAAAATCCCGGTTAACAATTATTTGAGCCAGCAAACGTCCTGCCAACCTAAGTAGAGTACCTAGCAGTGCATCATTGGCGTCTACTGTAGTATGCTACTGTATGACTATGATCAATTGGCCAAACATTGGAATAAGTATCGCTTGCAATACACAAACATTAGCAAAAGGCAATTCCGAGGACCAAAGAAGCCATACCTTAGTCTCACACGTTGGGACAGGCGGCGCATACTCTGGGTCGCCAGGCTCGGCAAACCGCGACACAAACTGCGCCATCCCTTCAACCAATCAACAACAGCAACAACAACCATCGACATTCAGGAAGACAGGAACTCAATCAGTCACAGATAAATTAAGCCACTGATCTCGGCAGCCAGCAGTACCCATAGATGTGCGGGATAGGAGAGCAGTAATCGATCGCTTACCCGTGTAGGCCGGCAACTTGCGCTTCTGGACGGGCGGCTTGTGCTCGAGCATAGGCCGCGCCTCGAACAGCTTGAGCAGGTTCGGCGTGAGGCCCGTCGGGTGGCCCTGCCCCATCTGTTCCACAGAAACCAACCAGATCTCAGATCGAAATCAAGCAAACGGAGACGGAGAGGAGAGATAGGGTTGGCTAGGGTTTAGGGCGGGTTACGAGCTTGAGCTGCTGGACGTTGGCGCGGGGCACTCCCTTTGGGCGGCCCTGCGAGCCGCCGTCCGGGTTGCCCCGCGTCATCGCGCTGCCGTAGTCGCCCATCGCCGCGGCTTCCTGCGGCGGCCGCGAGGGGTTTGCGGGTTTGGGGAGAGCGAGGGAGAGGGGGAGAGGGGTAAGTCGAAGTGAAGGGCGTTGCCACAGTCGTCACAACCGACTATACCTGGCCAAACGGGCCGGCCCGGCACGGCCCGGCCCGGCCCGCCGTAAACGTGCCTGGCACGGCACGGCCCGTCTCGGCACGAATAATAACCGGGCCGTGCCGTGCCGGCCCACGGGCGGGAGCTAGCAGCCCAGGCACGGCACGTAGTCTACATGGGCCGGCACGCGGCACGCTCAGGCACGCCGGCCCGTTGGAGGACGCTGGGCCGTCTGGCGCGACTTTTTTCTTTTTCTTCGCAATACCTCTGAAAACTGCAAAAAAAAAGGCAAAAAAATTAGAAAATTGCAAAATCTGGTAGACTATTATGTGAGATAAATCTAGAGTTTTATTAGCACATATACATCATTAAAACTCCCATCTAAAAGAATAAAAGAATACAAGACATACTCTATAATTACAAAAGGATAAAAATACAAAGACTACACTATAACACTACTACTACTTAGATTCAAGCACTAATAAAATACGCATGCACTATGAAAATATTAAACATATTAGGGTATTCGGTATTTATATAGGACATATATATTTATATTTTTCAAAAAAACATAAACGGGCCGTGCCGTGCCGGCCCGCGTGCCTAGCCTCCAGGCCCAGGCACGGCCCATGGCGTGCCGCGTGCCGGGCCTGGCCCGTTTAGCCCGGGCCGTGCCGTGCCTGGGTCGTGCCGGGCCTGCGTGCTACCGGGCCGGCCCAGTTAGCACGGCCCGTTTGGCCAGCTATACAACCGACCGAGCACGTTTTCTTTCCTAAGCGGTAAAATCGTTTTACGTCCTCTTAAAACGATTTTGCGGCAACGTGAAAGTCCCGAGAGCAAGATACGGTATAATTCCTATTGTCTCTATTTCTAATGTCTCGGTTGGTAGTCTTCAGCGATTAAATTTCGTCCTACTTTTTCTGGTTTATTTTCGTCCTTACTCCCACCTCGCAGGTAGACACGTCGACCCAAAAAAAACCCAGTGATCCCTCCACATACCTCCCGTCGCACCAGAGAAAAAGGGCCGAAAAAAAACCTACGAAAAAAACCAGCGATCGCTCACTGCTCCATCCCTCGCCCCCGCCGCTCGAGCGAGAACACTCACATGCACGAGTCATTCGGCGCCGCCGCCGCTCCATCCCTTCACCGCCGCCCTCCACTTCAGGAGACGCAGCCGATCCCGTTGAGGATCCGCCGCCCTCACACGTCAGAGCCGACGATCCCGATCTCGCATCGAAGGATTTGATTGACTTCTCCTCTCCTCTCTTCCACCTCTCGTCGTCGTCGGATCCCCGCGACGCATGCCCAGATCCGTCCGCAAACCGCCGACGACGAGGCGTATGGCGCCGCCACAGCCGTGCTCGAGCGCCTCCAGGACCCCATAGAGGAGAATCGAGGCGTGGCACCTCCTGGACTCCGTCTGTCGCCGCTTTGTCGACGACGTCCTTGCCGCCGGGCAGGAAGGTACTTGATGCCCACCTGCAAGGTCAGCCCCCCATCCTCCCGGTCCTTCCCAGCAAATAGAACTGGTATAATCATAACCTTTAGGTTCATGGTCTAGGAGCAGGAAAGTACATGTCCATCTTTGTGATATTCTCATATGAATAAGCATAATACTATGTACATAATCTCTCAATTGTGTAGACATCTCAATTGTGTAGACACGTCATCAAGTAACTCTACTTCACCTTTCAGATAATGATCCGCTTTTAAGTGTTTGTTGCCAAAGTGAGCATCAAATTACAGGAATCTCAATCTTTTTTCTATATTTATCGCAAGGCTCTTGCACGGTATATATTTTTGCTTGGTCATTAATGAATTAGTTCCATGCTCTGACAGTAAGAGAATGGAGCTAGGTGGAGGCCCTAGGCCAAGATTATCTGACATCTTGTTGTTGCTGTAGTAGTGTCTTAATTGGATATGTTTACAGTTCTAAAATCAATGTTTCAGTGATGGTAATATATGTCTGTAGATAACATATTTGGCCTAGGGCAGTTCGGTGAACTGGCGAAGGGCTTGCCGGCTTGGTAACATACCAGATGGCACAACCGACCAGCACCAGCACCAATGACATGGACAGCCGAAACTGCCACTCATGGCAACACGCAAGGAAATTATCCAGTGAGTCTCTGATACAACGTATCTATAATTTTTTATTGCTCCATGCTATATTATCTTCTATTTTGGACATTATTGGGCTTTATTATTCACTTTTATATTATTTTTGGGACTAACCTATTAACCGGAGGCCCAGCCCAGATTTTTTTTGCCTATTTTAGGGTTTCGAAGAAAAGGAATATCAAACGGAGTCCAAACGGAATGAAACCTTCGGGAACGTGATTTTTGGAACAAACAAGATCCGGGAGATTTAGACTCTACGTCAAGCAACCAACAGGGAAGCCATGAGGTAGGGGGGCGCGCCTACCCCCCCCCCCCCAGGCGCGCCCTCCACCCTCGTCGGCCCCCTGTTGCTCCACCGACGTACTCCTTCCTCCTATATATACCCACGTACCCCCAAACGAGCAAATACGGAGCCAAAACCCTAATTCCACCGTCGTAACTTTCTGTATCCACGAGATCTCATCTTGGGGCCTGTTCCGGAGCTCCGCCGGAGGGGGCATCAATCACGGAGGGTTTCTACATCAACACCATAGCCTCTCCGATGAATGTGAGTAGTTTACCTCAGACCTTCGGGTCCATAGTTATTAGCTAGATGGCTTCTTCTCTCTTTTTGGATCTGAAAGTGCAACTATCCCTGGGTGGTTTTGGTAATTCCTAACAACATATAGCTCATTGAGCTAACATTATTCCAAGATTAATATTTCAGGAAAAGCTCAATGAATGACATGGCATGGATGAGGAAAGTGGACCCCTCAAAATACTAAGGACAAAAAGTGTTGGGGAACGTAGTAATTTCAAAAAAATTCCTACACACACGCAAGATCATGGTGATGCATAGCAACGAGAAGGGAGAGTGTGATCTACGTACCCTTGTAGATCGACAACGGAAGTGTTTGGTTGATGTAGTCGTACGTCTCCACGGCCCGATCGATCAAGCACCGAAACTACGGCACCTCCGAGTTCTAGCACACGTTCAGCTTGATGACGATCCCCAGACTCCGATCCAGCAAAGTGTCGGGGAAGAGTTCCGTCAGCACGACAGCGTGGTGACGATCTTGATGTACTACCGTCGCAGGGCTTCGCCTAAGCACCGCTACAATATTATCGAGGACTATGGTGGAAGGGGGCACCGCACACGGCTAAGAATATGATCACGTGGATCAACTTGTGTCTAGGGGTGCCCCCTTGCCCCCGTATATAAAGGAGCAAGGGGAGGAGGCCGGTCGACCCCTATAGGCGTGCCAGGAGGAGTCCTCCTCCTAGTAGGAGTAGGACTCCTACTAGGAGGGGGAAGGAAGTGGGGAGGGAGATGGAAAGGGGGGCGCCGCCCCCCTCTCCTAGTCCAATTCGGACCAGGGGGAGGAGGCGCGCGGCCCACCCTGGTTGTGTCGTGGGAACGACTCCGACAGTAAGAGAGCGGTAGGATAACGGAGCATGATCTATCGAGATGCATATGGGTGACACGGTGGTTTTAGCGAGTTCAGGTCTCTCACGATGGAGATAACAACCCTACATCTCGTGCTCCGGAGAGGCTTTGTTTTATCTTAGTAAGTATCCGGAGATTACAATGTGTGTGTGTGAGCGAGGAACGGATCCCCATGCCTGAGCTAAGTCCTGAGACTAATGGTGAAAAGAGAGAGAGGTGGAAAAAAAACCCTAGTCTAGTGGTGGGGGTGGCTTATATAGAGTGCGCCACCCCCTCACCTCCTATGTTACAAGTGTGGTATGAATGCCATAATGCCAGCCCACTATTAAGCCCTCACTATTAGAATGATGCCGACTGCTTTGCTGCCTGCTGGTCTTCGTATATCCGAGTGAGTCGTACGGTCGAGTGGTGAACTGTCATCCGAGTGATGGTATGTTGCTTGGTCGAGTGGATAGTATGCTGCTTGTCCGAGTGAATAGTATGTCTGTATGAAATTGACCTGGACCCACATGTTGTGTGGACCCCATGCTTCATGATATTTCGACCCTTCGTGGGCCTACCTGTTATGTATATCCCCAACATTAGCCCCCGAATCGATTGCGATTTTGTAGAACGAGTTGGTGTAAGACACAGTTTGGTCCGAGTGATTACAGAAATACTCGGTACATGTTGTCACGCTTTCAGACAACCAAGGTTTGAACAAAATCTCAATGGATTCCGGCACCACGCTTCCTGACTGATCGAGGTAAGTGTCTGTGAGGAGCAACTTGGTGACATTCGTTCATCTCTCGGAAGAGGTTAACTTGTGATCTGAGTATGGGTGTGTCATTAAATCTGTGCAACCCGATTGACACATGGACTGCTCTCTTAGAGAGATGCCATTCTTATCCCGGAGGAACGTCAATACGAGTCGTTTTTAGATCCACACTTGTGAGTTTCACGCTTTGAGTCCTAGAAGAAGGCTCAAAACAGGTCCACAGAGGAGCGTTAAACTCACCTTATAGAATTTTTTTTGAGTGATTTGGAGCTGGGCCTGCATCAAGTAACTGAACTCGGAATTTCTTTACGCCTGGAACGTGTCTTTTTTTGTTGTTTGGCCGTCACTCGGACCGGGCGGACCATTCCGAGTGGATACCATTCCAGTGGGGGCACGCTGAGTGCACCCACTAGGTGTAGTCCCCGAGAATGCCGTCGACTGCGGGCAGTCAGAGGGAGTCTTAGAGCCTGTCTTTTTTTTTGTTGTTCCTCACTCAGACTGGTCAGGCCGTACCGAGTGGAGATTACTCCAGTGGGGGCACGCTGAGTGCACCTGCTAGGTATAGTCCCCGAGACCGCCGTTAACTACGGGCAGTCGGAGG